ACGTTTTTCTACGCCTCACCTATCATCCAGTGGAACATGCACGGCACAGCAAACTTGTGAATCACTCACTTCGGGGGTATCTTGACTTGTAACAGTAACAAACACCATTTTCGGGATTCTAATTCCGCCACAGCCGAACGGCCTTGTCTTTACCACCGCTGCCAACCCTCTTTCCATCCGGCGCCCAATCCACCGCGTACACTTCGTCCTGGTGGCCGGGCAGATCCACGGCGAGTTTGTGAGAGGCCATTGACCACACCTTGAGTGTTGTGTCCTTTGATGCTGTGACGAGGAGACGTGAGTCTGCTGAGAAGGCGCATTGGTAGACGGGAGCTACGTGGCCGCGGAGGGTGTTGATGAATTTGCCGTCCCTGTGATCGTTAGTATATCGAATGTGAATGAAAATTGGGTGGCTTACCTTGCACTCCAGATCTTGGTGTGGTTATCCCAGCCTGCACTGGCAATGAGAGATCCATCAGGGGAGAAAGTGACATGATTCACTTGCTTCTGATGGCCCAACATACGCGCGACGGGCTTTGTGCTCTGCGCCGGATCCCAGAGATACATAGTGAAATCATCACTAGCAGTAACCACCCGCTCAGCGATTCTCCCCTGAAACTTGGCAGCCTTCTCAAATCTCTCCTTCGCCTTGCTTCTCTTTCCCTCCTCGGTATCAGGAACAGGCGTGTGGTCGTAGAATCCAGTCCGCAGAACAAAATCCGTTGAGAGCGCAAGATGGTTCACCCAGTGGACGTGAGACGACAAGGTGTGCACAAGAGTTCCCTTCTCAGCATTCCATACTCGCACCGTCTTATCGTGACTGGCGCTGTATACGAGACCCTCGCCTCCCCAGCGCACACAGCTTACACTGCTCTTGTGGCCAGATAGGACATGCTCGGTCTTTCCTGTGTTGACAACCCATATCCGGACTGTTGCATCTTTGCTTGCACTCGCTAACCGAGGTGTACCGTCTCTCCAGAGATGATAAGGCTCCCAGCAGATATTGGTCACCCACTTTGAATGACCCGTCCAGGGGTTTCCAACGGCTTTTCCAGTTTCGGGGTCCCAGAGTCGAACAGACTTATCCATACTTCCTGTAGCGAGACGTGCACCATCGGGGGACCAAGCAACTGCCAACACCCATCCACCATGACCGGAGAGTGTGTACTTGGGTGTTCCGGTATCAGTATCCCATATCCGCGCTGTCTTATCTCCAGAACCTGTCGCTAGTCGATTACTGTTCTTGGGGCTGAATTGAGCTGCGAGAATTGCTTCGCCATGGCCGGGGATCTTATGGGACATGCGCGTTACAGGCTGGACCTTGAAGACAGCCTGTGGCTCGGCGCTAAGTGTGACAGTCGTTTCGAAGGGATTCTCGATGCCATGGTTGCGGAGAAGCTGGAGGAGGTCGGTAGGGTATTGGTCCACGATGATATCGGTATCTGGGATGTGAATTCGGAATCGATATGGGAGAAATTCCTCTTTTTCCTGGGCAAGTCAGCAAAGCTCAGAAACACACATCATGCGACAAACCCTAGCAAGTAACGTATTCAAAAGAAGCGACAGGTTCTTTTCTGAAGCATCCGCAAGAGGAACCTCAATCACATCTGCCATTTGCTTTCCATCTCCATCCAAGAACCTCGCCTTGAACGAGCCAGCAGGCCCAGAAGCAAGCGCTGTAACATCCTGCTGAATCTGAGAGCGCTCAAGCTCTTCTCTCTTCTGCCGTTTCGACGGTGGGGGTACAATCGTCGCCATTTTGGTTTATCTAGTATCTTGATGCTTCACAAAGGCTGGATATTTTCAAAAGCGGGATGGTGGGGCAGATTTTTGGCAAAATCTTTAGAAATTTTGGCGGTGAGGAGCTGCAGTGCCTAAGGCAGGTGACAAAAAAGGTTTGATATGAGGATAGGTGGCTGCTTTATTGAGTTAATTTTGGCATCCAGCACTATAAAAAGTCGATGATTCCTCATTCTAGGGGCCCAGGCCCGTTCTTCCTAAATCCCCAAGGTGCTAACAATTTTGGCACGCGCCCCACATAAATCCGTTAACGACGGGAGGAAGAAAACTCAGGACCGTAATCCTAAATGACAAAAGACTCAGGTAAAGTTACATAAATTTAGGATATCTTTACTAAGTTCAGGATGTATTTACCAAGTTCAGGATATATTTTACTGAGTTTATTTTGACACCCGACATTAAAGCCCAGTGTTTTCTTCCTCGATGGATGCTAACAATTTTGGCACGAGTTCCCACATAACTAAATCCGTTAACGACATGCTACCATGCCAGTCCAGTCTATCTATAAAAAGTTCCCGTCAACCAAAAACAAAACTACAGAAATGATCAGTCTACGATGCTGGTCGTTTTACAAAGCCTCCCAAACGCCGTATTCCCCTTGCTATTGAGCTTGTTGTCCGCCTTGAGACCGCCCACGCATCCTCTTATTCGGAGCCACGTAATGCTGAAATTGCGGCATGTCCATCGTTGGCACCGCGATTGGGGCCTGAGGGTTCGGTGGGAGATACAGCTGTGATTGCATCATGGCTTGGGCCTGCGCTTGAGCCTGTGCCTGTGCCTGTGCCTGTGCCTGTGCCTGCGCCTGTGCTTGGGCTTGTTGTACTTGGGCCTGAGTGGTTTGTTGAGGGAGTTGCTGTTGCTGAAGGTGTTGATGCATTTGCTGCTGCTGCTGTTGTTGTTGCTGCTGCTCCACTACTTGCTGACGACGCTGTCTAGCCCGCTGCTTCTGCACGGAGGATTGCCTCTTGGACTCCTCGATTTGTCGATGGCGCTTGTCTTGAGCTTCTTGCCTCTTTTGTCGTTGCAGGTCCTCATTCTGAACAGCATAGATGGCTGCAACGCGGAGCTGGAGATGCGATAGCTGCGCAACACGATCCGGATGCGACATCTTGCGGTACTCGCTCTTGAACTGATGGAAAGTCTCGCCGGTCAGACGAAGAACTGCGTTGGAGACACCCGCGACCTGGATTGCAGCTTGTGTCTCCTGATCGGGTTGTGGCCCTTCGTCTTGCCAAGGCGTGAGGAGCGGCGTCGCATCCGGATCCAAACTATGCTCACCTTCCAGGTCGTCCATCATATTCGTCTCTTCCTCGCTCGCAGCTTCGGGCGTCGGTGGTTCGGGTGTGCCGGGCTCGTGGTTATGCTGATCGCACGTAATTGTCAGTACCCATCCCCCCATAGTCTTCCGATGGACCGCCTTTGCTTTCCAGGGACAGTCGGTCTTCTTTGTCGTGGTCTTATGTTTTGTCGCCATGCATCGATACGGCCTCCCGCCGCGATCGCAGACAAGATCGCATCGTACTATGTCGTTCCCCGGGACGTCTGCACCACCCACTTTGCCTCGATGGGATCTAGCCTTGACGATCTTGTATCCTTCCTTTTCCATGCCATCGCTGAGTTGCTTGAAAAGTTCCTCATAGCTGCTGTAGATGCCCGAATGGGGCACTTGGACGGTCTCGAGAATGCCAAACATGTCGCCGTCACGGTCGCCGGAGTCAAGAACGCGATCAACGCGTTTGGAGGTCAACGATGTGTGGATTTGGTGGTTGACCGGTGTCAGGCGTGGCCACGCGTAAGGCAGCGGGGACGTTGAGGAATTTCCCTGTCCGTGCGGATAATTCTCGGCTGTTTTGGGAACCACTGGCACTGACAGCTGGTGTAACATTTGCTGACGACGCCTTGGATACATGATAATTTGCGTACATCGAGGAAAGAAAACTCAAGACCTTGGATGGTGTTTTCTTGCTCCCCAAGGGTGATTGACCTCTTTTCCTGCATTTTTGTTAATGTTGGGCATGGAAACGAAACGTCCGACTACCAAGTTGGGAAATCCCTCGTTACTGAACTGACCTTTATTTTCTCGAACCTTGGTTGAGCCGTGGCAACGTGCACTGTAGATTCAGGGTCCAGGCATTACCCAAAGCATTCAGGTTTCAAAAGTTCACATGTTTGAGACATGGCCTTACTTTTATATCTTGCTTTGTTTTTCTTTTTTTCTTTTTGCCTTCTTGCAACCTGGCCTCGAGAAAAACTATATTGCCTCGAAACAAGTTGAAGGTTTTGATTCAGTGGCTCAGAGTTTTTTGTTTAGGGAGAATAGAGTTGTGGGAAGTTTATAGAAGAGGGGGCCAATGCCATCCCATACTCTTACTCACGATGTTTTTACTGCCGTCATTTGGCCTATCAGTATGTGGTATGTATTTGACCGAAAGACTTTAATCCAAATATTATGTACAGTAACTTCGGGCTGCCTCCAGCACGTCAACTAACCAACAATGGTGTATCTGTCCCGACGTCGGGGAAGAAAACTCGGGACCTTGGTCCTAAGGGATAAAAAGACCTAGGTGGCTTAGCATAAGCTTAGTATAAATTAATCCTGAGTGTAGCATACCTTTTCTAAGTTATTTCGACACTAAATATCAAGGTCTGATGTTTTCTTGCTCCCGGAGGCCGGGTCAGCTCGTTCCAGCTCGTTCGGCAATCAGCTTCCAGGAACCGTGGGCCCGAGTGTCATTGATCGCCAGCGAATCTTCTATTTATCATGATGTTCTCTATCCAGCCCCATCAACTGATACGATTCTATCCAATGACAGCAGATCAATTCTCTGATACGGATAACCGTGATAAAGTGAGTGGGCCGAAACACCAATTCGGGTCTGGATAATACTTATCCGGTCTGCCCCGGATTCCAAACACCCATTACCCCAGATTTCCCTGACGTTCATGACATTAGCTCGCATCTATCATCACTAGCTTCTATACCACTTGATAACAAGATATGATCAGCTCATCCACGAGCGGGGGAAGTGGTCGGGTAACAGTTAACCAGCTTGACATTATCAGGTGCAGGGTATGTTGATAAGAGGCTGGTATGGAGGAATTGTTATATAAACAGACAAGAGTCTCTACATCCAAAGACCAATCTTCTCGTGATACATACTAAATATTCCCTTAATTACATCTCTAAATACTCATACAAAATGGTTGACTTCAAACTTTCTCCTGCTCAGCAAGAAGCCCGACGCCATGCTCAGGCCTTCGCCAACACAATCCTCACCAAAGCTGCAGTAGAGTACAACGCCCAGAAAGACCAGTTCTCTCGCTTTCAGGCTACCAGACCCTTCTACAGGGAAGCTGTTCGCCATGGTCTGATCAAAGCTCAAGTTCCCATTCCTCTTGGTGGAACTATGGAGGGTCTTGTTCACGAGAGCATCATCCTTGAAGAGCTCTTTGCAGTGGAACCTGCTACTTCACTCACCATTGTCGCTACTGCGCTTGGTCTGATGCCTTTGATTCTTAGTGATTCAACTGCCCTGCAGGAGAAGTTCTTGAAGCCCTTCATCTCTGGCGAGGGTGAGCCTCTGGCCAGTTTGATGCACTCTGAGCCTGGTGGAACGGCGAATTGGCTGCAGAAGGGAGGCCCAGGTCTTCAGACCACAGCTAGAAAGGTTGGAGATGAATGGGTAATTAACGGTGAAAAGGTTTGCACTTCATCCCCAAACACTCAAGTATATACTAACGTCTGTTTCAGCTCTGGCCCTCTAACAGTGGTGGCTGGGACTATAAAGGGGCTGATCTTGCGTGCGTCGTTGTCAGAATCTCAGACGATCCATCCAAGCCTCAAGATCCCAACGTAGACCCGGCAACTCAGATTGCTGTCCTCTTGGTAACTCGAGAGACTATCGCCAATAACAAGGAGGAAGCCTACCAGGTCCTGGGCGAACCTGAACTTGCCGGCCAAATCACCGCATCTGGTCCCCACACTCGCTTCACCGAGTTCCGTGTTCCTCACGAGAATCTTCTTTGCACCCCTGGTCTCAAGGCACAAGGACTGATCGAGCAAGCCTTTGCCATGTCAGCTGCTCTCGTTGGCGCCATGGCGATAGGAACTGCCCGCGCAGCCTTCGAAGAAGCTCTCGCCTTCGCCAAGTCCGATACTCGCGGTGGCTCCAAGCCCATCATCGAGCATCAGAGTGTAGCTGACAAGCTTATCGACTGCAAGATTCGCCTTGAGACCAGCCGTTTGCTTGTGTGGAAGGCGGTTACCACTCTCGAGGATGAGGCTCTTGAATGGAAGGTCAAGCTTGAGATGGCTATGCAAACAAAGATCTACACCACTGATGTTGCGGTCGAGTGTGTCATTGATGCTATGAAGGCAGTTGGTATGAAGGCCTATGCAAAGGACATGTCTTTCCCGAGGTTGTTGAATGATGTTATGTGTTATCCGTTGTTTGATGGAGGAAATGTTGGTCTGAGACGACGACAGATGCAGCGTGTTATGGCTTTGGAGGACTATGAGCCTTGGGCAGCGACTTATGGACCCTCCAAGATTGATAAGTCACGTCTATGAGGTAGATAGCATTGTTGCGTCTTCGGTTTCGGGAAACTTTCTCACTTTGAACGAATAAAGCCAGTCACCCCAAAACCCTCTACCGAGGCATAATCCTTTACATGCCCTGCGATACAGCATTGGATGTCCCCGGTCTATGTGATGGTCTTGATCCTTGCATATAAGGCTATATACAAATGACGGAAAAGAACAATAGCAAGATTCGTCCATTGGACTGCGAGGTTTAACTCACCTGAGCAATATGGGCTTGTGATCACGAATGAACCGCCGTAGCAGTAGATACGGATGATCTGTATAATGAATGCTAGCATAAAAGATAATACTGTCCTTGATGTGGTGCCATGTAAGCCGTATTGAACTCACTACAATATCAGTTGAGGTACCATAGAGAATAATCTGATAAAAAGACGTCAGAGGTGGCCAGGCAACTGGGGATCAAGGGTCAAAAGGAGACGCGAGGCAGTACTTGGCCTATTGAACAACGTTATGTAGTGTAATCCCCTATCCCCCAATAGCATCTCAACGAATGCCTGGGGGTGGTGACGTGGTGAGCGGCCACAAAGGTATAAATACACGACCTGTTGCTAAAGGTCTCAGTCTTCTAACTTGAATCACTTCACAACATTATTCCCCTGGCTCCCCATAAAGATCCGCCTGAAGATCCCCTGTCACGGTTCCCAACTTCTGACACTCAGAGCACAACGCAAACTCACCAGCGTCGGTCACCGGTTTCCATGGAATAGAATGCAGCTAATTGTTAGACAGGATGGATTCTCAGCTCGAACAGCCGTGGAAGAGCTGGTATTCGCCAAACAAGAAGTATGCGAGGCCTTCTCACTTCGTTGTGCCCATCATGGCTGCTGGCAATGTGATGATCCCGCCGAAGGAGTCAGGAGGACAAAGTAACCTGGGGCAGCCAAAGGGGGGTAACAATGGGGTCGAGAAAGGTAATTGAGAGACTTGGTCTACATGGACGTGCAAAGTGCGTGGTTGTACAAATGTAACCACTTCATGTAGTCCTCGATAGGAGTGTCGTCTTATAATGCGTTCAGATACGTTGCACGTAACCAGATTAGCTAAGTAGTTACACAATTACATAGTGAGCTAGTTAGAAATTCCGAGGACATTGAAACTACAGCCGGCCAAGATCCTAAATCCGAAGTATGATAAGCACTGCATGGCTCATGTAGGTGGGTGTACAACCTGTATTTGGTGTTTCACACGAAGTGATAGCCAGGTTTGAGTTGCATAAGCAGTAAAAGTGCAATCATCACTTGCTCTCCATCCATAACCTGACCCCGCTCCTTGCAAATCCTCGTAAGCATTGGCGAGAGCGTGGATGCTCAGCTGCATGCGACCCTGCTGAGCAACCTGCTTTCTACAGAATTGGACCCGAGTGCATGCACCCAAAGAGCTGTTTGAATAGAAGTACGAATGATCTGATGTGTGGTACCTCACCTGGTGGAAGACGTTGCACCTTTGACTGTCTCTTTGTCGCTCCAGAGGATCGTACTCTCCTCACGATACAATCTCCACGGAATCGCCCAGTGAGTTTTGGAGTCAGTATCAGATCTACTGTTGCTTTGACCTACCACGATGGATTTAGACATTCAGCTTCCATATTTGAAGAGAGACGATCTGTATCGTCACCAAAAGCCCTACACCACGGACTTCGCCATCGACCATATACCAGACTCAGTGGCGAGTAACCATCGTTTCGATTATCAGAATGTACATGTCGTGGACGCACAGGATTCGCCAGGAAAGTTTGACCTAGAGCGACACGGCTTCTGTTTTGTTAAAGCTGAAACAGCTATCTCTATAGAATCAGCAAATGATACGGAGTACGTACGGGATATTTACTTTCCACAAGTAGAGAAAGCTTTGCACATGGCTTTGCCAGGATATGAGCGGATTGATTACTTGGACCATCTGGTAGGCTATGGCCCTCAGGTTACTCGAGAACAACCAGGCTAATTTTCTAGGTCCGCATTCGAGACGAGGCCTTCCCAGACAAGGTTGGTGAGCCGACAACGTATGCTCAGCCAGCCTGCTTGCCACACTCAGACTTTAGTAAACATGGCGGATTTCTTGCGATGAAGGAGTTCTTCCCCGGACAGGAACCATTCTTCGAGAACAGGGATTTTGATTTGATCAAGTGAGTATCCTTTTCTTTAGATATTGCGGTATAATTGACATATCCTAGTGTATGGCGAGTCTTGCGAGGGCCAAACAATGACTGGCCGCTGGCCGTTTGCGACTACCAAAGTGTTGACTTGGAAGTGGACACCATAAAATGTGATGTACTCCACGAGTCATGTGTCGGAGAGAACGTGGTTCTGTTCAGGAACCAGAAGCATAAATGGTTTTATCTCAGTTCCCAAGGCGTTGACGACATCATTGTCTTTCGAAACACGTCTTCCAAAGAACAGCGGTCGGGTATGTGCTCTGCCATCAAGTTTTTCTGGAACAGGCTGACACCCAGAGAAGTTTGCTTTCACGCAGCATTTGACACTGGCCTTGAGGCTACCGACCCTCGACATAGCATTGAGCTTCGAGTCGTGGCATTCCGCCCCGGCGGTGAACCATATGAACAGAAATAAGTCTCAAGTAGTTAGAAGAAACATGAAACAGATGATATTGAAATTGCACAAAAGATCCCACAACAGAGATCAAGTACATATAAAACTCACAGAATTCATCTGCTCCAGAACTGAACTATGGCGTCAAAGTCCTCTTCGCCCGTTGCAGGCTGCCAATTCTCTGACCCAATAATCTCCTTCCTCATCCTCTCTGCCTCGCGAATTTCTACCGTGCCCCTCTGTCGGTCACCCATGTCTTGGTAGATACAGCCCCTTTTGTACCTCGTGCGGGCAATCTCATTCTTGAGATGCTCGGGATTTATCAAATAAATGCCTAATGCCTTCTCAAGCATTGATCTTTCGGTTTATTAGCAGTGTCATAAACCATTACCATGTACTTACAATGCTGCAGCATAGTTGCCCCAAAGATGCAAATGCCAGCCGACTTTGTGGTAAGTATCTGCCGTTCGGTGGTGTCTTGGTCCAATCGTCTGGATGTACAGCTTGAGAGACTGCAAATGAGTCTCCATGGCCTCTTTGTACTTGGCCTCCGACTCCTTCTTTCTGCCTTTCTCTGTCAGTGATCGAGCTTGGCTGATTTCGACATTGCCCAAAGCTAGAAGTGCATATCCTGTCCTTCATAGAGTGAGTTGCTCTGAATCTTCTAAGCTTAGTCATCTGAACTGTACCTGAAATTGGTTGCGTCCTCTTTGTCCTTGACAAGGGGTCGGAGCCTCTTTTCAGCATCATTCAACCGTCCCTGCAACCACAAACAAATGGCGAGGTTTGTCGTGTATACCGTGCGATCTCCAGGAAGGTCTCCCCATGCTTTCAAGGCTCTATGATAGTAGTCTTCAGCTTCCTTGTATCTGTTCAAGCCATGTAACCCATTCCCGAGGCGAGCTAGGCCGAAAACCTCCCAAATACTCGGTCTCTGAAGCTCTCCGCATTCAAACGCGAGTTTGAGATAGTCCCATTCTCTACGAAAACTATCATGGGCTTGCTGGAACATATTTGATTCGGTGTGAAGCGAACCAATGCCACCGTAAATATCGGCTAGAATGCGATAACCGCCACCTTTGCCGAGGTGGCGGAGGCAGTACTGTTCTGCTGGCAAGAGAAGGTCATTAATTAAGCCAAGGAGCCCCCTTTCGTAACAATACCTTCACATATGATTAGCATGACCCAAAATATAGTTTTCTACTTATTTACCATCCTGCCTCGTATAGAATCTTGGCAAAATCCCAAGTTACGGTTTCGTGCGGAATGAGTGGGTTACCCTCTTCATATGAGGCGATGTAATGTGCACAAAGAGATTGAACATGTGGCAGAAGAGCTTGTTGTGCATCCCATAAGGAGGGGTCGTAGATGGCGGATCGAGGTGGAACTGGCCAGCAGTTTTTGACGATGGTGAGCGCATTATTAAAACTCTCCCGGCGTTGATCAAGATCCATACGCAGATGACATGATGCTTGCACCAGTCTGTGCATCCGGAGTTCCTTGTGCTTTTCGCTCTGACTCACAAGGGAGCTCCGCAAGAGTTGGCTTTTCAGCTTGTTTCTTTTATACGCGTTACCCATGAAGCTTAGTGCCGGATCATCGACTTTCTCCACCCCTTCTGCCAAGTGGCGGAGTTGAATTCTGTCTGGATCCATATATGACAGAGTCTTTATCAGGCTTTGTGGTCCAGGTTGCAGACGGTCAAAGTTCATATTCCAGACAGTTCGAAGTGAGTAGCGATAGGATGCCCCATTAGACTGATCGACCAGTCTGACCTCTTCGCAATCCTGAATCAATTCCCGGTTGTTATAGGCCTCGAAGAACTCCGAAAAAGAACAGGCATCAGAAAGTATCAGATTGGCGGCGTGCATAATTGCCAATGGTAAACAGTCGACTCTCTTGACGATATGAAGAGCAGCATGAAGCTCTTCCTTTCCTTCTTTGTCATCTAATTTGCTGCTGTCGAAGCACGACATTATAGTCAAGAGATTGACAGCACTTTCGGCATCTAGAACTGTGAGCTCTATGCCACCCATCTGCGCAATAAGACGAAAGTCGCGGGTGGTAACTAGCACAGACCCTTGTTGACCAACAGGAAGATACTCTTTGAGCAATTCTTCCTTGTCGTCGCCATCTGCATTGTCGAAAACCAAGAGCCAATTGACGTCTGTGAGCCCATTAGAGTATGCTATAGCAAGTAGATCAAAACTCTTACCGAGTGCAGTCAGGCATTCCTTCACAAGCTGTTTCGCAGACTCTGGACTCATCTTCTCGTCATTGGCGATTCCGAGCTCTTGAGCAAAGGTAAGATAGCTCTCTGCCAGTTTCGCCTTGCCGTCGGCATGGGCCCAGAGGATTACCTGGTAGGCTTCACGGTAGCGAAATGTGTACTCGATGGCGATTTGTGTTTTGCCCATACCACCGAGACCTGCCAAGGCAAATGTCTTCCGCGATTTCATCGTGTCATTTGTTGTTGTAAGGGCTTGATGAATTTCATGAAGGATATCATCCCTACCAATAAATCTGGGATTTTCTTCATATGGTGTAGTGACAAAACATGGAATCACAGCCTTGGGGGTGACCTGACTTTTGGTGTCAAGACCTAACAGCGACTTGTCGATGTGCATATCTTTGATACCTATCAGGACTTTGCCATTACGTTCATGATAGAACACAAACCTGAAAGAATACTCAACTGGGAAACATTCGAGGGAGGATCCTGGAAGACTTGCCAGGGCTCCGATAGATTCGATGGTTCTTCAGAACAGGTAAAGGCCGGTCGAGTAGAGGCTGGACACACGGCATCAACCAATCCCTCGATTGTAGTCATCAAAATATCGAAGAACTGCTGGTCACTTCTAGGGGGGAAGGTAATTATTTGTTCATGATTCGCGTCGACCCCAAGAACTTGTTCGTTGTCCCAGCCCAACGAGGATACGTGCTTTGGGCACAACTTGAAGTCTAAGGTTAGCTTTGAGGGCCAGAGACTAGACTTCAATGAAGAGAAACTAACACATTCAGACTTCCTGACAACGGAAAATCGACCGACTTGATACATGGTGGGTTTGAGTTCGAAGAAACCGCGAACCCGAAAGGGTGCATCCAGCGTGCGAAATCGTTCCATGACCTCTTTGATAGCATGCCAGTCACCGGACCTTCTCAAAGGCTCAGCCTTCTTCATGGCTCCAAGTTCGACGGCTGAACATTTGATACATAGCTCTTCAACGTTCGGATGGTTCTCGTTGTGAAGGCAGCCGAGAAAGACGATACCGCCAGTGTTTTCCAGGATATGGCGGAACTGATGTTGCTCTTTGGCGATGATCAAGGCCTAGGCGAATAAAAATTAGACAATTCGCATAGTGACTGGAAAAATACCTAATAACCTTTTTGAGGATGAAGGCGCCGAAGCTGTGGCAAACGAAGACAATGGGACGATGCTCGACTCCTTCGCGTCGCATTGTGAGTCCCATGACCAGAGCTATCGCCTGCTCCAGCAACATCTGCCAAGAAGATATTGCTTCCGTATCGTGATCTCCCAGAGTGGTAAAACCGTAGTCGAATGTCATGATCCTCGTACGGGGAATTTGGTGACTCAGGACTTGGCGAAGCCATTGGTTGTGTTCCCTGGGCTTGTATTGTGGTGATAGAGTAGGTAGAGCTGGAATTGAAACAATGCTGCGGCAGATCGTTGATCAGTGCTCTTCGTGACTGCGTGTGTGGTCACCTACTCTAATTCAGGCTGCTGAACTCCATCATATACAATCGGCAGGAGAGTCATGGTTTACATGGACCACAGTGGAAGGAGCTTAGATCGATTTTGGCAGGTGTTCACAGTGGTTTCTGTTCCTTCCCCTGCCTCTGATTAGAGGAGCGCCTTTTCTTATAGTGTCCAGTATAACCGCCTCATACAGCGACCATAGAACTATTAATCGACCGGTCACCACATTGCAATTGCTACCAGACGGACGGGCGCATGGCGACTACCCTATCCAGCACGGCTTCCAGAGGTTACACAAAGCTTACATGCGTCCAGGTACTGCACTTTCAATAGGTAGGGAGGTAAAGGTAGGTGGGCCCTAAAGCTTACCCCTCTTTCAGGTAGCACAGAGCAAGCAGGCTGCCTTCCATGCCTTGAGTGAGGCAATGATTTTTACTACCTACCCCATCACTTAACTCAGGACCTCTATCATAGTGACAAAAGGTGTTCGGGTAAGTTTCATGCAGAATCAGCGGTTCTATAGACTAATCGATTCTGATACTCTTAGATTTGTTGCTTTCCAGGGCAGGCTGCGCTTCAAACCAGCAAGTTGAATCAAAACCACTGGCCCAAGCCAAATCATCTATCCATTTGCTCTCTCAGCCAACGAGATAACGCAAACGCGGTCGGCTGCGTATCACCGTGCAACAGATCCTTATACCTTGTATATAAAGATACACCGGTCCCGTGCCAGTTGCCCAAACTTCAACACAAAAGTTGCCCTTGCCAAACGGACGGGTCACTACCCATTACCTTATGGCACACTTCAGGCTAACGCCGGTCGTAGACGGCATCCATTACCTAGTCCATCCTCAATGTCTCGTATGTCGAACACAAAAAGCCAAATTGTGATGCGACCTACTGACTCTCCATCCATGATAGCTCCAGATCGTCGAGCCAACCGGCTCTGAACCGATTCCAGTTGTTCTTCTCCCGATTGGCGACTCTATAACCTCGGTCGATGATGCGTTGCAGCTCATCGGTCGTTTTGTCGATGTTGACGATGTCTATTCTCCATCATTCTCTCGCACTGCTGTTATCCGACTCGGTACTGAGAATGGGGTTATGGGAGTGTTTGAGAAGTTTGAGGCATCTGGCCACTTCTCCACCATCTATCGTGCATCCCCAAGCTCCTCACAGGGCTATCTTCCACCAGGTCCATACTTCCTCTGTGATGATGGAATTCATCAAGCGTATCGCTTGTACGAGGATACTCTTGATAGTTTCATTTTTGGAGTGATCCCGGAAGACGTCTTGCACCCCAAAAAGTACGAGAATCTTTGAATGTCTCCCTTTCCCACCAATGGATGCTGACCTTTTCAGATATACTGCTCTAAATTTGCTCAGCTCAAGTGGACTGTGGAAGAACATTGCTGTTCCAAGTAGACTTTATGCTTGTCGAACCTCAAAGACGCCCCTTGCTGGCGCGCGCATGGGTATTAAGGACATTTTCCGTCTTCAGGGTACCCAGACGACTATGATGAGCCGACCGTGGATTGAGCTTTATGGTCCGGACGTACAGAGCGCAGACTATACTTCTAAACTCATCAAACTGGGAGCAGTCATCGTAGGAAAAACTAAGATGACTTCATTTGCATCCCCCGAAGAGCCGACAGACCAGTGGGTTGACTTCCATTGCCCAACCAACCCCCGGGGAGATGGCTACCAGAGCCCATCAAGCAGCTCCACGGGAGCTGCAACTTCTCTGGCGGGTTACGAGTGGCTGGACTTTTCTATTGCGGGAGACTGTATGAACGTGCCTATATTTTTATTCTCTGATTTTCGCTAATTATCAACAATGAAGCTGCTGGTAGTGTCAGGGCACCCGCGCCTTGCAACGGATTATTCTCCCTTCGACCTAGCTTCGGCTCTACATCGATGAGTGGAATACCGGTTAACTCACCGTATGAATGCCCTGTATTTCTACTGGCATCGGACTAATAGAAGTGTAGCGCTTTTGATACTGTCGGCCAGTTTGGTCGCAGCTTAGATGATCTTCACTTCATTGTATCACACACATTTGAGAACATCCACCTGAGTTTGTCTGGCTTTCCGTCCAAGATACTCTATCCATCGGAGTTCTATCCCTTGGCTGACAAAGAGCAGCAGGCTCTGACGGATGAGTTTGTGAAAGTACTTGAAGACTTTCTGGATGTCAAGAAAACACCTTTCAGCTTTGTTGAGGAATGGGAAAAGAATCCCCCTCGGGATGCAGGAGGCTTGCCATTGCTGAAGTACACTGAAAAGAGCGCCTTCTGGTCATTATGTTACGACTACTATCATGGATTCGACAAGTTCCGTGATGGATACAAGGCTAGGTTTGGCAGGAATCCGTTTGTTAGCTCAGTCGTACAATTCCGGTGGGACGTCGGAAAAGGCGTCACTTCTCAGGAGTACGATCTATACCTGAACCAACTCGAGACATTCAGAGAATGGTTCAGTGAGAACGTCATGGGCCCTGATTCGAGAACGCTTTCCGACGCCATCCTCATCATGCCCTACGGGGAACCTCATCCAGAGTACCGCGATGAGGCAAACCCACCTGCTGGGACCTTTCCTACGATCGCGGAAAAGTTCATCTCGCCTATCCTGCATGCACCTCAACTCGTACTACCATTTGCTCAGTTGCCATACCTGTCAAAAGTAAGCGGGAGACGCGAAATGCGACCAATCGCTAGCACTATGATAGGAGCCAAAGGGAGTGATCTCATGCTCATCAAGCTTGCCGCTGCGGCGTTTGAAAAGGCTAAATGGCCTACAAACATCCAGACTGGCCGCTACATGTACGCGATTGCCCAAAATGCGAGGAATGTAAATTCAACGCCTATCGACAGATCCCCGACGTTTGAGACGAGACAAACTCTCTGGGGGATAATCGGAGCGTCTGGCGATAGTGTTGACTACTTGGGTAAAGCCAACGCTTCAGTTTGCAACGTCATTTAATATATAACCAAATTGAAGTCAAGGGGAAGGGGGGAGGCCGAATTAGAAGCTATAGCCAAAGAAAGCCAGCCTAGCGCGGCCGCTATCCTTATACCCTTTTTGTTCTTTCTTTTCTTTACCTCTGATTTCTATGATTATCTCAAGGGGCGTTTTAATTTGTTCTTCAGCCCTCCTGAGATTAGGATATAATTAGGTCGTGAACCGCAGGGCTTCTTCGCACGGGTATCAAGCCGGCTCAGCTGTGAGACTATTTTTCTTCTCCCCACATATGGCAATAAACACATCTTGCTCTTTAGGTTCATATCAAAGCTGAAAGGTTTCTATTTGGCCCTTCTGAGCTTCTGGAAGGCCTTGGTTGATAACATCCCCAGCCAGCCCCATGTAGTGGTCCAAAACATGGTGACATATGTAGCTACCAAGGTTATTACAGCCACCACTGCGAATACATAGAACGAAGGAGTTTTGCTACCCCCCAGCTCTTTTATGTTCATCCCAAACGCCGAGGTAACGAATGCCAAGGGAACAAAGAACGCCGCCAGCTTTGTTAGCCTGGCCACCTCCTTCGCTTGCGCGATACCGCGCTCCCCACAAAGAAGCTGCGAATAGCTTACCAGAAATGCCATCGCCGACTCACAGTCTTGACGCATGGCAATGCATTTCTGCAGTAAAGCCTCATGGTCAGTTCTTAATTTACTCTGCACGACCTGTTTCTTTATGGCCGCGCTCATTCCAGGTCTAGCTCGGGGCCAGGTATGACAACCACCCTGAGCTATCCACTGTAGGTTCTCGGCGAGAGCGGCCTCGACACGTTGGACTATCCTGACGCAGTTTCGCAGTCGCTCAAGCTTGATGTTAAGAAGATCTACTTCCATGCTGTGGTCTTCATTTATGCTCACTGACAGATAGTTGAGGAGTTGCATGAAAGAAAGCGCGGATGTAGTAAAAAGGCTGGCCAACAGGAAGAAGGGATCTTCTGACAGCAGTTCCATATCTGCTTCGTCATTGACCACAATGTTCCGCGATGGATGTAGCTGGCTGAAAGTTGGTGCTAAGGGAAAGGTATGATTTCTTCGTTCATGGCAGTTGTTCTCGCTGATACCAATGTTCCAATCGCAGGATTCGGTCGCAACGGGCTTGTTATACGGAACTATCGGAACAGTCCCTACCGCAGTTCCACCTTGTAGAGAGGTGGCGTAGTTGTGGTAGCTGGTCCAGGGGAGACGAACACCTTCCAGGAAAGAAGTTCCTTCATCGGTGAGGTAGATAGCTTTGAGTTCACTACTGTTAGCCGATTGACTGGACATTATCACGTCCAGTGTGAGAGAACATACCGACCCACGACCCTTTGTTTGGGACAACCGTGAAGGAGACAGCCTGCTCAATGCTGCAGCAGCAGGTGTCATGCTGGTTAATCCCCCGAAACCTAGTAACACCGAACTGGCCTTCAGCGAACAGACGCTTCTCATATGTCCGGCACGCTTCCTCAACTGCAGATCGATTTTCCATGAAGAGTTTCAGGCTGGGGCCTTGAACCAAGGACTTGACGAGGCTTCTGAAATGGACGCGAACAACATTACCCTGCCTGGAAGGCAGAGTTGGATCGCTATAGAAACCGCGTGGATTGCTCGGTTTGTCGAAGATATGTCCTATAAAAAGCTCTGGACGTAGATTCCATCTCCGGGCCAGCTGTACAACGGCATCTGGGGATGGGAAACCCTCTAACATGACAATTTGGGGTCTTTGTGAGATGGATGACCAGTCCAGGGGGGTGAAAGGGAACAGTGCAGGATATTGTATGGCAGACTCGATAGGCCGAAGCTCGAAGATCCTTGGTTGATGTTGAGTTTGCCCCGGATACTTTCTCGATCCTTTTTCAATATAGTCGACTAAGGCTTCGTAATAACTAAAGGCCTCGAGGTCGTTCTTGTAGCATGATCGAATATAATCCACGTAGGGCTGGCATCGAAGCTCGTCGCCAGACACACGTGGACTTGCACCGGCCGGGCTCGCCATATATGATTCGGTTCGTCAACTTTTGGTTATACTCTCCTCTGGTAACTGTAGTAAGAGGTCTAGTCGACGATCGACAGATGAAAGGTGAAGAAAATACCAGCAGCGGACAGCAGTCACCCCCTATACTCAGAGCCTTATGCATAGCTGAGGCTGTGTGCAACGCCTCGCCAAGTGATAGCTGAACAGCACAACAAACGACGCTAGGCGCCCGACTTATCTCAGCCAGCCGCATATGAGGCAGCCTTTCATGATTACGGCTGCCACAGCCCCTTCCTAGTTCACCTTATTTACTCGTAGCTACTAGCCGATCTTAGGACTAGGTACCTAGAGAAGTATTGAGATTCCGATCAGGTGTTATGGTTCGCGTTAGTAGCCCGATAACGGCATATGCCACGATGTACAACCTCTATTATAAATTCTAATCCTTTTCGACTATCGCTTTATTGTGGCTCTGTTTTCATTCTAGTATGTGTAACTCTTCCTCCTCTTAAGTACCAGTAAGCACCATAAGCCATAAGCTCTTTACTCCTCCTGGTCGTCATCGGTGTGGCAGCCCCTGCCGTAAATCCACTATTTAAGGCCCCCCGGGTACCTTAGCTAAGGTACCTAGTAGCTAGCACTCCCGCGCCTACCTAGTATGTGGGCCCTCATCCGTTGCCGCCCATACAACCAGGGTCTAGACCAGAATCTTCCCCTCACAATCTTGCATGGCGCTTTTGAAACAGATAAAATACTTCTTGAACTGATAAATTTCATTTATATTGAAATATAAAAAGGGCTTTTGTAGAAACAATATATCTCTTATACTATAGAAATATAAAGACTTATTGATTGGCTCAAGAAGATATAATAATTGAACGGAAAGGCTCCTGCCATCTTAGCTAGGTTTTCACATTCTGGCAAGATCGCTCTGCCCAGGTACATACCTACTGTAGGCGGACAGGTACCCTCCACCTTTTAATGGAAGGCAGGTACTAAGGATGAGCCTCATTATCGTTCCTGCCCGGTCCAAAAAGCCTTTCGGGAAATTTACGGCTCGGGCATTGCCACACCCGACTACTAGCTAAGGTACAGACCTATTTCATACCAATTTCCTGCTTCGGTAACTTGGCCAGACGAGGCCTCTTACATCTCAATTTGAAACAGCACCCAAAACGCTCGTGCTCAGGATCGGGCTCAACGGAAAAGATTTCTCGTCGCCTTAATCTCCTTTATTCTTATTTCTCTCTGGAGTACCTAGTTGCCTATGGAGCAAGAGGATGCACCTCTCCTCGGGCCACGACCCTCGACGGCCGCCGATCGCCACACCACCCAAAGACCACAGCGTGTTCCAGATAGTTGGTCGGGCTTCTCTCCAAGCTTCAAGTACTGTATTGGGCTTGAGCTACTATGTGAGCTAGCCATGATGATTCTCACCGTGCCTATGGTATCTGCCCTGGAGCACGCCATTTGCGCTCGACATTATCACGATAACATTCCGACATCCGAACTCTGCAAAGCTCCTGTAATCCAGAGAAAATTGTCCGAGATCCGAGGCTGGGCAGCATCCTTTGAGACATTCTCGGGTAATTAACATCATTCGTATGATAGACTTGACACTGACGTTCCTGGTAGCCATCATTGTCGCGCTGCCTATTGGGCGCATCGCTGATCATCGAGGTCAACGGGGTGGGGTGTGTTCATGGTTGTTGTGGCGGGCATCTTGATGAGCCTCACTTGGACTCTCATAGTTCGTAAGTATCAACTGTATGCATACCTTGCACAATATCTTGAGGCTAATAGTGCGTTAGTCACTAATTCTGTACTGCCCATTAAGCTGGTGTGGGCTTCTTCTGTCTTCCTCCTTGTGGGAGGAGGAAGGTATGCTGCTGAAATGCTACTTGCTGCCATGGTTGCAAAAGCATGCACCGAGGAGACAAGGTAACCTCCAGACCTTGAAAGACCAGAAGGCAGAGCTTACGTCTATACCTAGGACTCGGGGTCTCTACTACTTCTACTCGTGTTTCATCTTTAGCGAGTTAGTAGGTCCTCCAGTGGCATCTGTTGCTGCTGACATTTCACCTTGGCTGCCCTTCCTCATTAGCTATCTCTTACTATTTTTTACCTTTCCCCTCCTTTTGGTCATGCCAAAGGATTACATAGCTCCATCCTCAGCGACCATTAACTCCGCTGAGGACCTACCAGCATCTTACGACCAAGGTCACGGTATCCTGCGGGCAGCTCTCCATGCGCTCTTCGATCAAATTCATCTTCTCCGCTTCATGCTCTCGAGTCACAATATGTGCTTGGCGGCAGTCGTATTTCTTATCAGCACATTTAGAGGCATCTCACTCCGTGCTCTAGTACAGTATGCATCTTCTCGTTTTGATTGGAAGCTTTCGAGGGCAAGTTTGGCAGCTCACGAATCTAGCACATAAACTAACACGCGAACCAGACAAATGCTCTCATTGGCGAAGTTGCTCTTGTTAACTTGATCTTATTCTTTTTCATTATGCCTGCTTTGTTACGAATCGTTAGCAAATACCTGAAGTCCACGCCCCAGGTCCTGAATCTCGGAATTGTGAGGGCTAGCCTGTCGCTGCTCTTCCTGGGGTCACTATTGCTTGGCTTTGCCACAAACTCGGCCTTTTTGATTGCGGGTGAGTCAAGTTCCACATATGACTCTCCATTTCCGTTGACGAACTCCATATAGCAACCATGATCTACGGCCTCGGATTTGGTGCCCGCTCGACACTGCTATCACTCGTTACCTCATGGATCGACCCTCAACGCGCCGGCACCCTTTTCAGCGCCGTATTTCTCATCGAGCAAATTGGTATGCTCGGGGGAGAGCCACTCGTGCAGAACGTGCTTGGGATTTCCCTTGGGCTAGAAGATCCGTGGAAGGGCTTGCCGTTCATATGCACTGCAGTAAGGCTCGAGCCCCTTAAAGCTTTCGACGATTTAACAAACGACCAAGGCATTCTATTTAATTGGCATCGTTTGCATGTTTTCGATGAAAATACAACATGAGTAGATGCCCGAATCTTTGCAAGTGTCGACATATCTCAGAGGATCTGATTTGTATGTTTTTGAGTTATTAGACACTTCAGCTGACTTTGATAGGGGGTTCGCGAAAGGTTTTATTGTAGACTGTTATTCTCTGAGCCACTTGAGAGAACACCTCCAATAACTACGAGGGCACTTGTCAGATTCTAAGTCCTGATCTAAGCTTATGGGCTTTGGCATGTGCTATCTGAGGAATTATGGAAGAAATATTAGTCTTGCCCTATATTGGTTATAATATGCTATCATTTTCGAGCATTGTAGACCTTTGAGATTATTCGTAAGGTTCTTTGGCTTTTAAGTCTTGGGTAAAGGGATCATCAGCGTCTCTTAGGTTCAGTCACGATTCTTGTCACTGAAGACGAGCACTTGAAATGCCTTGTAGGAGTTGACTAGCTCCTTTAGCATTATACTAAAAAGGTATAGAAGTGCGTGAAATGGATATGAATGGTCGCATGTGACTGCCTGATATCTGACTTAACTGTGCTCTCCTTGGCTGCTCTTTCCTAAACTCCCTCACGGTCTCGAGGTTTCTCACCACCAACGCAGGAAGTTGCCGCCGGTCCTTCGCAATACATTTCTTCCTATATATTATCCCGGCCTTTACTCTGAATCACAAAAAGACCAACGTCCTTTCTATCTATCACCACCTAGACAATATCCTCAATTGACCACAGCAGATCGATCGCAACATGGATGTCAATATAGAGCTGCTCCGCTCCATGCCATCTAGAACCGCTAGCCGCTCGTCCTCGGGTTACTTCCAGAGCAGCGATAGCCAAACACATCTCGACCATGCTGCAGCACTGAACTCCTTGGCCCCTAGGCGACCACAGACCAGTCTAAGCGAATACTCTGGATACGACCACTCAGGAAATAGCACAAGACCTAACATCTCAAGACCTTCTACTGTACGCCCTGGATCAAGACCTGGTACAGCGTCTGGCAGAAAGTCTCGGAATGGAACTGCCTCTTCCATCCTCGGGCCTAGCGAAGCGCAGACCATTGTATGCGCGGTGAGCGAGGCTCGCGGAGTTTCTCCTGCGGTTGGTATCGCATTCGTCAATGTTTCTCTCGGTGAAGCTGTCATCAGCCAAATATGTGACAACCAGTCGTATGTCAAGACAATCCACAAGATCCAGCTGTCTGCACCCTCACGCATTCTCTTCATGACTACTGCCTGCCCTCCAAACAACCCTAGTCCCCTCTTTTCCCTTGTCCAAGAGCTTGTTCCTGAAGTTCAAATCGACGCAATGGAAAGGTCAGCATGGTCAGAGACAGAAGGGTTGGAGTATATCCACAACCTAGCTTTCAAGGATGACATCAAACCTTTGAAGGTGGCTACGAAGGGCAAGTTCTATGCCATTAGCTCTCTTGCCGCTGTACGTCAAATCATCCGGGCCCTTCGGTTAAGATACTAACCCGGAACAGGCGATGAAGTATATCCAGCAACACTTCTCAATCAACTTCGTGCCGCACTCGCTTCGCATCCAATACCGACCTTCAGAAGATACCATGATGATTGACATTTCGGCTATCCAATCGCTTGAGATCATGCAGAATATCCGAAACTCAAAGTCTAAAGACTCACTGTTTGGCCTGCTGAACCATACATGCACCCCGATGGGTTCAAGGATGCTTCGTAGCAATATCCTGCAGCCACCCACTCGGCCAGATCTCTTCATCACACCCCGGTATGATGCGCTGGACGAGTTGACCACTAATGAAGAAATGTTCTTGGAGATTCGCAAAGGCAAGGTTTGCAGCGATAACATAGAACCTCGCTAACTGAAGCAGCCCTCAAGCTCTTTCATGACACGGAAAAGCTCCTGACCAAGGCAAGCCGACCAACCAACTATGCATTCCCTACTGACTCCTATAGTTGATCATTGTTCCCACCAATGCAGATGTCCAACAAGTAGAGGAACAGATCAACCAGGTCCTCATGATCAAAAGCTTTCTGGAGTCAATCCCCGAACTTCACACGGCGTTGGGGCCTGCCAACAGCGTATTACTAACCAAGGTCCGAGAGCTCTGTCGCCCTGAAATCACAAGCCACAGTCTCAATATTATCCGGCAGACCATTGAAGCAGACGTCACTTACATGAAGTCTGCGCTAGATCTTCGAAATCAGAGAACCTTTGCTGTCAAAGCGGGCATCAACGGAATGCTTGATGTCGCTCGACAGACATACAAAGAGCTCACCGAAGATATCCACCAGCACATCGATGCTTTGAATGGTATGAAATATTCCTTTTGTGCAATATGTTACTAAACAGATCTAGAGGCACACGGACTTGATGCTAATCTCCGATACGATAATGGGCGCAAGTATTGGCTCAGGTTGCGAGCGGCAGATTTTGATGACCGTCCCCTTCCGGATTTGTTGATCAATGTGGTGCGAAAGAAGGACAAAATTGAATGTCAAACACTTGACTTGGTCAAGCTCAATCTAAGGTTATCAGATACCTCTAACGAGGTTGTCATTCGAAGCGACAAGGTTATACAAGACTTGCTGAAGGAACTACGTTCTGATGTTCCACACTTGTTCCGCGTCTGCGAATCGGTTGCGCTTGTCGACATGATCACTTCCTTTGCGCAGCTTGCAACTACTCGGGACTATGTGAAGCCAGATCTCAGTACGACGCTCGCCTTGAAGGCAGCGAGACACCCTGTCCTCGATAAAGTGAGTGCGAGAAGCCACTACTGATACACACTGACTGACTTGCATAGACTATGAACGGCAGGTTCGTGCCTAATGATTACTATTCTACAGAGCAATATTGTTTCCACATCGTGACCGGTTGTAACATGAGCGGGAAAAGTACCTACATACGGGCTGTCGCATTACTTCAGATCATGGCGCAAATCGGATCGTTTGTGCCTGCCGAGTATGCCGCTTTCTCCATCATCCACACCATATTTGCTCGGGTTTCGCTTGACGACAATATTGAGAGTAACCTCTCTACCTTTTCTGTTGAAATGCGAGAAATGTCCTTCATCCTGAGGAACATTGACGACAAGAGTCTCGCTGTGATTGACGAGTTGGGGCGGGCCACAAGCAACCGAGATGGCCTAGCGATTGCGATTGCAATGTCTGAAGCATTGATTCAAACGAAAGCATCTGTCTGGTTTGCAACTCACTACATTGATCTGACAAAGGTTCTCGCGGATCGACCAGGTATTCTCAACCTGCACCTGGCTGCCACTACCTCGACAACTGAAGATGGATTGCCTCATATCACGATGCTTTACAAGGCGACCTCTGGTGCCATCAGAGGCGAAGAGCATTATGGCATCAATCTGGCACGTGCTATCGGGCTTCCTCAGTCCTTTATTGACAAAGCAGAAGAAGTGGCGAAGGACATCAGGCGAAGACGAGAAACTGCCAAGCGTAGCTCAGAGTCAACCAGACTTGTGGCTCGTCGAAAGCTCATTCTCAACCTGCAGGATGCCCTGAGACAGGCGAAGGATTCTGGAAGTGAGGAAGCCCTCCCCGGTTATCTGCAGCGTTTACAGGAAGACTTTGTTTCCCGCATGGAGGAAGTCGACAACATGTAGTTTGAAGGTATATTATGCGGCCACCAATCTGGGGCGCATATGGAGAGTCAATCTTGCTGTATCCTCCGAAGGGGTTCTATATGTTTATTATGCTCATGGTGTTGAAGCCATTTATACGCCTGGGCGCTTGTAATCTAATTCTCGGACACGTTTCCATACCTCTCTCACAGTTCGTTCTTGTGTCTGTCGTCCTGTCTCTGTTGCTGAAGGGCCGGCGGGGCTACCGAGTGTTAGTAGGCGAGCTTTCAAGTTTTAGTTGACGGGTGCGTACCGTATAGCTAGATACAGCCGGCCTCCAAGGTGTGCCCTTGTGATGTCGGCAGTTTCTGGGTCGCTGGGAGGGTTGGCAGTTGTTACAAGACCACCAGCCTCTTCTAGGATCGCGAAACCGGCCGCGACGTCCCTATTCGAGTTAGCATCTCTGTTGTGCTGTAGAAATAAAGAGTGAGGGTGTCATACCATTCCCAGCATCCACCCTCCCACCAGATATCGAAAGAACCCATGGCAGTGTAAGCAAGATCCAATGTGGCACTGCCCAAGCTTCGCATGCCATGGACCATACCACCCTTTCCTCCCCTGCCATTTCTCTCGGAAGCCATGTTCACAAAAGACTCGATCTTTCGTGACATGTTGCCGTCTGGTATATCGCGACGGTCCTTGCCCCATTCACAAGAAAACGTACAAGCGCTAGGCGCATTAGCAGGCATCGGAGGGACCGGGTTTCGGATCAATGGTAGTCGCTGTGTCTCGTTGAGCCATGCGCCTCGGCCTGTGCATGATGAGAAGAATTGGCGGAGGAATGGGGCATTGATGACGCCAATGACTGGAACACCCTTGACGACTAGAGCGATTGACACGCAGAACATGGGGAAGAGATGTGTGAAGTTGACGGTGCCATCGAGAGGATCAACTACCCATGTTGGCTTATCGTCAACAAGGTATGTTCGTGAAGCACCGGCAGAGTAGGACTCTTCTCCGAGGAATCTGCAATCGTTAGTGAGGGTCATGATAAGACGAGGGGTAAGACATACCCATGATCGGGATATTTACTGAGAACAGTTGTGCGAATAAAGTTCTCAACATCTAGGCAGTCAGTACCAAAGCCATGAACACAAGGATACAAGGGGTGGAATACCATTGTCTGTCTTTGTCACGATATCTACCGAGTTCTCCTTCTCAACATACGAAACAGCACTCGAAGACTGCCCATTCCCATCCATGCGGCGTTGAGCAGCGGCCATGAGCATGTCACCGGCATCCTTGCCGAGCTGCACGGCAAAAGCGTAAATATCGTCCAACTCGTGCTGCTCCATTATTATTTTTTTCTCGGTCTGGAAACTATTTGTTTTTCCAGAAGACGCAGGGAAAGGATAAAAGTCCACGGCAGCTTGTTTTGTTGTAACAAA